TCCAAGATCACCCAGTCCAATCCCACTCCACCATGCTTGCTGACCACATTCCTCAGTGACACATCTCCATGGTTCTGGAGCACCTCCAGGTGACCCTACCACCTCCCTGGGCAGCTGTGTCACTGCATCACTGCTCCTTCTGAGAAGAAATCCTGCGCAAATGCGAGCAGCTGTGTCATGCAATCACTGCTCCTGCCTGATTCAGGTCTGTTATCTTGGCACTGGGTGCTGGGAATTAGTACTCCTCTGTTAGCACTGCGAGCCTGTTTGCACACTCAAAGGTTTCCAAGACAAAGCCAGAAGTAGTGCCTGGTCACCTCATAGCACAGTCACAAACAACAGGTACGAATCACTCAGCTTATCAGTGAAATTCACTCTAGCTCGCCAAGGCAGAGGGACGTGCTCCCCTCCCAGAGCTTCTGGCCTCACAGACCTGCAGCTGGTGCTTCCTCAGTGGTTGCGGAAGGCAGCCTGCAGCAAGGAATTCACACCTCCTGCTCCAAGCCTGGGCTTTAACGCTTCCACTGCTGCAGCCCCAGGGGGGACGTGGGGACTTGAGCATTTACAGTGCCTCTGCATGAAAAAATTATGCAGCCCAACATGGAAAAAACTGCATAATGCTGCCCCTGAGGATGGTAAGGTCAAGTGAGCACCTCCTGCATGGACACCCACAACACAACCCCCAGGGTGCAAGAGGAGAGAGCAACCGTGTGTGGTTAAATGACAGGGCAGAAAATCCACGGGTTTCACTGGGGCACTCACAGCCTGTATCTCAGGCCCTACAGCTTTACCAAGTTGCTGATGCTGTTACCAACATCACCGTGCAGCGTGTGACAACCTGCCAGAATCACCAGTTTCCCAGTTCAGCTCTCGGCTGCACACTGGTGTAAGCCAACAAGGCTATGGAGCTGCTGGCAAGGTACATGAACTCCTTCAATACAAGGCACAAGACTCCCCAAAGTCGCCATCTCCTGCTTGCAGCCTCAGTTTCCATCTGCTACTTCCAAGAATAACAATTGGTACAAAAGAAAATACATTTTAAAAGTTTATTTATTAAAAATAAACAAACTCTGGGAAACTCATTCATTAAAAGTGAGGTGTGCATTACAGTCCAGCTGCAAAAAGATGATAAACTCAGAATTCACCATTTCATATAAGGCATCATGACACAGCCACAGAGTTGTTCCATTACTTGTTACTGAGTTCTCATCTACACCGTTTCCTTACGCTGTTATGCAGTAAATGCTGTCCCATTATTTAGCACAGTTAGGAAAACAGAACCTGCACCAAATCAAGCACTAATCCAGGAAGGTGTCACCTGTTGCCAAACCAGAACAATTCCCAAATGTCATTGCAGCTGAACACAGCCCTTTTCATTAATGCTCAGACATTTGTCAAATAGGACACTAACTAAAACAAACTTACCAAGAAGCTGTATCAGTGACTTTAAGTAGAGAAAGGAAACTTATCACCAATTCTTGACACACCTTGAGGTATTTCAAAACAAAAACATTAAGAATCTCATCAAATTTGAATTCTGAAATGTTTTTCACCCTACCTAGAAAAACAGAACTTCCGTTTGCAGGTGCTGCCCTGTTGTTGTAAAGCGCCTGTACTCCTCAAACCAACAGCTTCCTGTGACTGTTGTAGAAATTCTGTTTTTCTAAGAAACTCTGTGATAATGAAATTATAGCAATGAGGGTCTTTAGTTACTCAACCTCACCAAGAGGCACAGAGACATTTTAAAGAAGAGAGACATCCAGTCCCAAGGTGTCTCAGCAAGGTGGGAGCAGCTGAGCTGAGGGCTCGCTGTGCTACATGCGACCCTCAGACCTGGCTGTGCCCTCAGCCCTGCGACAGCCTACACAGGAAAGGCTTTACATCAAGGCAGGCTCAGAAATGAAGTGTTCTGGAGCAAAGTTAGGTTTCCTGTTTTGCTTCACGTGTTACAGCAAGGATCTGAGATGGTGACCACATCTTGCATAGGCTACAAACAAAAATCTTTAAAACTATTCCTCAGAGTTATAAAAAATCAATAGCTATTATCAATAAACTTTAGAAAGGCTAAAATGCCTCAACAAAACATAATAAGGTTAAAATGTCTCAATGAAAAGAAGAGCAATCTCAATTATGTAGCTCTGTAAGAACATGTCCCACAGTTGGCATGAGCTCACGAAGTCAAAATAGCCCAAGAAAGCATCCCTGGAGTAATACAGTGGAATCCGACTCTTCCCTTGATAAAGGATAATGAAATTCCCACTGAGATTCCACCTCACCTGCAGAGCCAAGACGCAGAACCAGGGCACCACAGCCCAACGAGGCCCTTTCTGGAAGTACTGAAAGTAACTTATCTCTTGCTGAGGAATTTACAGGGTGCAGTGCTCCTCAGAACAGAGGGAAGCGCGTGCTGCTTGAGTCTCAAGGCTCCTCACCTCCAGGAACAATTAAATTCACTGCATCTTGAAAGCAACTCAGTATCAAGAACTGCAGTAAATCCACCTTTAGATTGAACTAAAGGACTACAGTGAGTGCACAAAGACTCACCAACTCATAAAGAAGACAAGCTGAGAAACACGGTTAACTAGACTTCCTGGCTACCCCTAAATGAGCACAAGGCAGAATGCAAACACGAGGCCCACAGTTTCAGTTCAGTTTTGGACACCATTCCCTTTTCTTCCTGAAGACACATGATCTGAATTCCAACCCACGACTGCCTCAACAATAGCAGTCTTACTTCATCTACTATCTATTTATTTGTATTGTAATCATGCCACTTTCACATCCTTTACTCTTTAAAAGCTTTACATTATTTTCAGTTGTCCAAAGGCTATGCGTATCAAGTACTTCTGTTCTCAGCTGCATTGATTCTTCCTGAAGCCAGGAAGCCACTTCCATGCTAACTGACATGCTAAATGAACTAACAATTGTTCATTTGTCCACGTAGAAACATCAAAGGTGCCACACAAAGAGGGGAAAACTATACGGCTACTTGCAAATGCAGTATGATGGTAAAAAATAAGAACATTTAACATGAAGCCATACAACTTTCAGTTACATTTTCCACTAGTTCCCAGTATTATTTGCACAGAGATGGAAATGAGCCACTGCCTGGCTAACCTGGGGGTGTTAAGCTGTGCAGATCAATGACAGCAATAACTTGCCAGGATGAACCTTTGCTCCAAGCAAGCAGCAATGGCTATCACAGGCACTGTAACCAAGTAAACAGAACTACAACAAACAAAGGCAGGATAAAGCTGGATCAAGAGCTGCACAGGTGAAAGCAACAAGGACAAAAATAAAAAGTTATTATAGAAGACCTAAGCTCTTACACAGAGCCATGTCTCTGTGAATCATCAACCACTCATCATTTAAAGAGCAGATGGCTGGAAGGTCCCCATATGTGAAAAATATTACCAACAAGAAGAGACCATAGTAACAGTGAAATATAACTTGATACTGTGATTTTTCTATGAATTATTCTTAATGATAACATTGATCCATGCCAGAAGCCTGAAGAGTAGAGCACTTGGAGGAAAAAGAGCAGTAAGCACCAAAAAGGCTTTAGGAATCAATAAATAATCATTATATATCCTCACAGAAGGAGCAGTTCCCGACCTATTTTAATAATCTAATTTAATTACTTATTACCAGACTGTTAATTAGCCTCAATTCTAAACAGCATTCAGCCACCTTTAAGCACCCTTACGAAGGAACTGCCAACAGCTTTTATGTAACAAGAATTCATTCCCAATCATATTGGTGACAATGACATTAAACCAATAAGAGAACTCTTCCATCACTGCTTCCAGAACAGCATGGAGAGCTGCTCCCATTCTGTAACAGCAGCAGGGTGGGCAGCCACCTCTCCTCATGGCAGTGCACAACGAGCCAAGAACAGACATGAACAACGTCTCTATCCTTTGCTGACAGCCCCACTTTCACTCAACAGATGCAATATACATTTCTCTCCATTAGAGGGACAGATGCTTAAAATAGCTGAACTTCACATTTTCTTGTTACTCCTCCCAGAGCCAGCCAGCAGGAGTATTCTCCCTCTGAAATAACAGGCTAGGTTTAGAGGCTATTGCATTACCACCTGATGAGCAGCTGAAATTTGACCAGCTACCTCCACAGCGCAGTATGTGAGCTTCAAAACCAGCTCTCTGCTGGCTCAAGTTTTAAGCAGGTACCACTTAGCTCCAATTTCATAATTGCACACACAAAGATCTCTAGATCATGTTAGCCTTTGTCTGGGGCAATCCCACTAGGTATCATTAGTAAGGGAGTCAGAGGTTTCCACTGGGGTCTTGCACGTCCTGTAACAGCACAGTATAGAGCAAGAGCTAATCCCGAATGTGAAACACGTCAGCCAAGCTCCCAAGCACCTCAATATAAACTGAATTGTTTTGGCTTTTCTTTTTTTTTCCCCAGTTTGCAAACTCCTTACCCATATTTAAATTTACTGACACAGCAGGATTCATTTCACTCATTATCCTCTTCAGACATTGTATTGCAGATAGACCTCAGAGTGCTGACTTCTCATAGAAGCTAACAAGGATTTACAGTGAACAGAACAGAGTGCAGTAGGTTAGCACAGACCCATGTCTCCAGGCAGGGCTTCTTAAGGGCCACACTCCAGGCTGCTGCATTTTGAGGTTGCTTTTCTTGACATCAGTGATACCTGTGGGTGTTCCTCTGCTGTTTCACACAAGCTGAAGAGGCACATGTAAGGCAGCAAAAGGTACACTCAGGAAATTGCGTGCACACTCAGGCAGACAGGGCTCCATTCATTTTATCTTCTGGCCTTAAACTACAAATTAATTAAAAAATGTGTAGAAATGCAACGTAAACCTATACACTACAAGGCTGAAAGCATCACACATCACCAGGCTCTGCCCTTCTGTTAGGTTTTATTTTCTCAAACAAAAAAGCTGTTAAGTTCATAAGTGGTTACAGCAACACCAAACGGTTAGAAATTCCTAGTTGATACCTCTCCTTACCTCCACTGAAATGGATGGCTGTAGCATGGGCTAGATGGATTGCTCTGGGCTTGTGAGTTCAGGTAAAATACAAGAGGAGAAGTGACAAGTGCACAGTCAGCACTAAATGGGAATTTAAGGTGCTGCAGACCTGGAGCAGACGTAGGAGAGAACGTGTGCTGATGAACATCACTTCCTCGGCAGTGGGAGTACAAAGGAGAGGAGATTCTGACAAGGTGCCACGGTAGAAAAGAAAATAAATCAGGGTCAATACCACATCTTCTGTTTACCACATCAATAAAAAGGAAGAGAAAAAATAAGACTTTTCAAAACACATGTTCTATCTTCTGTCTATCAGTATAATAAACTCAGTGGTCAAAGTCAGCCAATTGTCATCCAAACCAAAATGTACTTGTCAGTCAATACATAGTATCTAATCCATATTTTTTTTCCACTACGAAAATCTTCTGATCTGGAATTACCCAAATCCTGTTTTTGAGTGACTCCCAGGTTTTCTGGATCACACACCGCTGTCCATTCTGTTAACGTCAAATTTTAGCTGGGAACAATCGACCAAGATGGCAATGGCACCAGTGACAGACATGGGCCATTTGCAGCACAGCCTTCGCAGGCTGCAATCTGGGAGCCGTGGTTCTACAGCACAGCTATGGCAACGATAGAAACAGTCAACAGTGAAGACATGAATTACACAAACCATTACCTTGAGGACATTTAGCACTGACAATGTTTTAAAACAGCTAGTTAAGCCTGAGAGCAGCACTGCAAAATGAGTTTATTCTAACTGAGCAGTGGAGAAACTGAGGCACAGAGAGGTTACGTGACTCGTTCATAGCACAGCCACAGCAGCATTAGGATTGCAGCTAAGAAGGCCGATCCCCAGCTCTGTGCCCAGTTCTGCAAACTGTACTGCAAACTGAACTGTTACACCGTGCCCAGAGTTAGCAGCCAACAAGTATTCCTGTAAGCAGAGAGCACAGAACATTTCACTAAGTAGCTGCTTTTCAGGAAGCTGCAAACAGACTTCTGCATCAACATGAAAAAGCTTTAAGACCTACTTTATTGAACTACACACGATGAGATGTCCTTCACTGGAAATAAAGGAAAAGTTACCTTACAAATATTGATATTACAAAGAAATCCTGGTTAACCAAAAAAAGTATTGTGAAATACACTTAAATGATGAGAGCCTTCTGCCCAGATTCCCATGAAGTGACAAGATAACATGTTTTGAACTTTCAGTTATCTGAAAAAAGGCAACAATATACTGCATTTGTTCCTGTGTTGAATCCTTACACAGTGAACATATCGGCTGTAAGTTCGGGACAGGATGGCTGTCACCTGGTGTTAGGGCAGTGTGGAAAGGCCGCTCAGCTGAACCCCTCATGGGGGTGACTGACAACAATGAAACTAAGTGCTTTAGTCTGGGAAATTTATACAACTTGCTACCTTACTTCTAACCTGTTTTCTTTCATAAGCAGCGATACAACCGCTCTTAACTTTTCAGTGTAGGGAATCCAAATGGAACCTTCAGTTTAACCCAAAAATAAATCATCACTGGTTGGAATATGTGGGGTTTTTTTTTTTGCACATAACTGCGTGTAACTACACACAATCAAGTAAAGTTACAAAAGAACTGTTATTAAACATTTAACATCTAAACAGTGGAATTCAGTGTTACGATTCACCTATGCTCATTACTAGAAAAATGCAAGTTCTCTACTACCTCCTCCTCAAAACCATGCAATCCTTTCTGCACAAGGGAGCACAGCACACAGAGTACCAGCCACAGCTGCTCTCTGCTATCACTGTACGTTTGGCCTTTTCCTTTTTAAAATGTGGGCAGTGCTGGGCAGCGCTCAGTGTGCTCCAGCGTTAGAACAAACCAGTGCTGCCATATGGTTACAACTATCACTGAGGGATGAAGAAAGTTTCTATTTGCTGTCCTTAGACATAACGCCTAGGAAGAAGGAAATCTGGGACGTGCTCCAGCTTTTGTTGGGTATTCAGACATTCTCCATGAGAAGTCCTGGAGCCGAGCACATTTGCTGTGAATGTTCAGTGCTTTTAACTCCCTACTGAATCCGAATAGTTGTTATCAGTCAGCAACCTTTAGGTACAGGCAAACTTCCCCAGGAGCAATCTCTGCTTAAACAGCTGGTGGGCTCTGCAGGCTGCAGACTGAGGTTAAGCCGCCTCCTGCCCGCTCCTCCCATCCCTGGGCAGCTCCATCAGCCCTGCTGCTTACACACACAGCACTAAATAGATGACTTCCTTCCCATAACCCATGGGAATAATAACGTCGCTATCAATAAACTGCCATTCTCACCAGTAGATTTCAAAGTGCTTGTAAAGTATTGAAAAGCATTCATTTTAATTTGTAGAAATAGCACATGACAATGTCAATTATTTTTTTTTAATAATAATTTTTTTTTTCCCTTCAAATTTAGAAGTTTTCATAAGTCGCCTTAGTTTAAGAAGACAACAAAAGTAGCAAAAATTTCTCTGGATTAGAGCCCTGTGACAGCTTTCTTTGAAGTACTTATTAGGTTTGGAAGAGCGATCTAATTAGAAAGAGAGTTCTGAATGTTTAACTGCACTACATTAATCAACACCAGGTGCAAAACTTAAACACAGTGCACAATGTACATAAACACTTAAATACTGCTCTTTTTTCTGGCTATACTTTGTGGTAAATGGTATACAGAAATAAAATGCTCAAAGTGAATAAAATCCTCAAAGTGAAATTTTGCATACAGCGAAATAAGCAAGATGGATAAATTTTAGCAACAAAAAGCAACGTTTCTTAGCACAGAACACCCTGCCTTATTTTCTTCACCATCTCCATTTGAAATGTTTAAGTGCAACTCATTTCTCACAGCAGCCCTTACTGGATCCGCAGCGACGGGGCTCCCAGCCTCTGCTTCCTCCGCTTCATCGCGGTGCTCTGTGGTTCTGCCCCCAACCAGAGGCTTCAAGGAGAAGAGCGCAGGGCACAAGCGCTCAGTGCGATCCCGAGTGCTGCGTGTGCCCCAGTGCCACAGAGACCTCAGGAGTTCAGTAGCAGTCCAGATTAGTCACATGGCTCACATCCAACATGTAATTATTAAAAAAAAAATCTTCTGTGAATCGATCGATCCAGAGAAAGGCAACAAAGCCCACTGGTTTACGACAGGAAGGCACAGAAGAGTCAGACACACACCGACCTGAGCTGCTGGGCTGACAGCAGCAAGCCCAATTTGGTACTCAGCAAATCACCAAACTTCTCCCGGACTGCATGGGGCAGCTCTCTCCAAATCACATGGCAGGCACGACGTGAAGGCACACTCCAAAGGGTGTTGGCACAAATCCCACATGCCAGCTTGCAGACTCACACCGCGATAGGAACAGAGTCCCCACGTGCACCCACAGCCTTTGCAGAGTCATCCGCGGTGCAAAGAGCAGCTGTTCTCTGCTGGCGAGCAAACATATGAACCTGTCCCATCAGAATCAACCCCCTTCAGCACGTGCACGACTCTGTACTCAAACAGTCCCCGTGCGGCTCTGTTCAGCTGCAGCTCCCATGGCTGCCAGCCCTGGCCCAGGAGCAGCAGGGCACAGGGATGTATGTCCTTCAGCAGGGCACAGTGCTCCCCTGCACCGCGCACGCCGGCACTCCGTGTGCAGATGGTGGCTGCTATCAGCTCTACAGCAGTGTCATGTATTGCGGAAAGCATCTATCTTCTGAAGTCAACTACTCCTAAAAAGCGTCCTCTGTAAGAAGTCAGCTTTCCAAATAAAATTTCCAAATATGTATCTTTGGTAGATTTTAAAGCGTTATGCCAATTTTCTTGAAACCCATATTTAGGCATAGGAAGCTGCTGCTGTCACAAGCTGTCATCAATCACAGCAGATTCCCAATTACAGCCCTTATCTGCAGGCAGTGGCAGGCACAGATCGAGCCCCTGCAGTCCAGTCCCATCAGGAACACAGACCACTAGCCCGGGGTGTCTGGAGTGCATCCCTTCTTGGGGGGGGGCTCTGCTTCTTTGATAAGAACAATGCTTTAAAACCACTCTTAAAGCCTCGGGTACAAGCAGCAGCATCCCATAGAACCCTGCAGGAAGGACTCGGCAGATCCCTCCCTCAGGGCCAGCCCCACGGACAGCTGAGAGCTCTGGGTTATTTTTGCAGCCCGTGCCCCATGCAGAAGGATGGAGCAGGCAGTGCATGCCACCTCCCCAGCTACAAAAATATCACAGCAGGAAGCGCTCAGGAAGGCACCATCCCTTACGCTGCTTCCAGACCCAAGCCAGGGCACAAACACAGCAGAACTTCTCACCCCTTCCCAGAACTGCTCCTTTCTCCTTTGGCTTCTCTGCATTGAGGCCCAGCACAGACCCCCAGCAGAAATGCCCACCCTCTGAGATGGGCAGCAACCAAATGTCCTCCACTCCTCTGTAGATAAAGCACTTGGGCAGAACAGGATAAAGACATCAGGCAGCACTAAAGCCCACGTTTTTTATTCCTGCCATCAAATTTGTTATTTCCAAGGTCTAAGCATTACAGTTTAAAAAGAGCAGAAGTAGAGGCCAATATAAACTGGCATCCGGCACATCCTCCCAAGAGATGCCTTGGTGTGCTTAAGTGTTATTTTGTCAAGAAGCCAGGGATAAGGTAAACTGTTATTTAATGAAATACCCTGTGAAGCTCCTAGGGCTGCAGGTTCATACCTTTGAGTGGGGGGAATATTCCCTTTAAAATACATTGAAAGGCATAAAGTCCACAGTAAGAGCCTGGCACGTGTCTTTATCATACATGGTTACCTTGCTCACCATATTTCAGACAGACAGACATACAACTTCACGGTTCATACCACCTCCTGTCAGCACCTACCACCATCAAAACAGCACTTGGTAATATCTGAATTATTCAAATCTTTTACTGTTGTCCCACCCCTCCTCCCTCCCCATATCTAACTGTAATTAATCTCACACAACAAGGCCAGCATTTCTGAAATCTTTACAGCCATCAAAATATGCTATTTTGGGGTGGAAAAAAAAAAAACTGTTTTTACTGAATATACTCTGGATAATGATTATTTTTAATGTTTCTTATGTCTCCAGGCTCATTCTCCCCCAGACACGCGCTATAAAGATACATTTGGTACAGATGTCTGACAGCAGGGAAGAATTAGTACCAAAATTTGCATCTGAAATTAAAAGCTGGTGTTGCAAATTTAGTTTGCAGAGGAAATCACTCTTTTCAAATTTAGATACAATTTGGAAAAATGGTATTTTCTTTCTAATAAAACATTACCTTTAGACATTGCAAAGATTACAGCAATCCAAGCTGGTCAACTGCCCAAGAAAACATGGGGAGTTCAAACAAACTCACAAAGTTCATAAAAAACCTGAACATGTCAATAAAGTTTGTGTTACGAACAACTGCGTTCATTAATACTGAGACAGCAAACAGGAAACTGGTTGGTTGGTCCCTATGCACCTCCAGCCAGATCCAGTGACCGCTGGGCAGCCAAGGCAGCAATGTAAGCAACAGTGAACCCCCACAGCCACCACCCAGCACTGCGTCACACACACGGACACGAGCCTCTGTCCTTCCAGGCCTCGAGCATCCCTGGTGCACTGCAGATGCAGGTGCACATCCAAAGCACCTGGGAGCTGAAGGCAGCAGTACAAAAACAATCTCTAGCACTGAAAGGAGAGAACAGGGTAACGGCCCGCTTCCACTAATAAGAAGGAGATGAAAGTTTGGGTCTATCACTCGGCATTTGCTGTTTGATATCAAAGAAAATATTCATGAATGGTAATTATTTTTGTGAACAAAATACGAGAAAAACATATCCAATACATTTATATGCATAATTTATTCAAGAAAAACTTTGAACTCTGATTATTGAGCCACACTAGAGACAGAATGCCACTACCCTTTCCTCTACTAATACTTGTGTTATTCAACCTCTTTACAACATACAACTCAGCTGAGTGAGATTTCTTTGAGTGTACTGAACTGAACCCTCCATAGGAGCACACAGACTTCAACCACAATGACAACAAAATGGTATCTCATTAATTGAGCCATTTATCTTAATGATGCCCTGCACACAACTCCCCCACCTGTTTCAGGTGCCTACTTACTCTCTGTTTAAGATTAGACTGCCAGACCTCCAAGGGCAAAGCCATTACAGTGAGCTTGTGTTCCCTTCTACTGACGTGGAAGAGCAGATAACAGACTTCCCACGCTCCATTCCACCACTCCTTTAGTTCAACTTCTGTACAAGACCTTCTTTAGGTGGCAAAATTGCTCATGCTCTCAGTACTGAGACACATAACTCCACTTCTTTTCCTCAGCACAAGGAAGGAAAGCAACAGTTGTTCATGCCTACAATCAGTTTCTGCATAAAAATAGAGTCAGTAATGCAGACAAAGGCAAATATGAAGCAACGAGTCAGATAAAGACTAAGTTAGAAGTGTTGTCAGAGAGGGCTCTCCCTTCTCCATTCAACAATGACAAGTAATCTCTCTATTTCAGTCTAAAACCTTTCTAACTTAACAGTCAACCAACACAATGACCTAGCAAGCACAAACTGGAGCACAGGAGGCTCTGTCTGAACACGAGGAAGCACTTCTCTGCACAGGCTGCCCAGAGAGGTTGTTGAATCTCTATCTTGGGAGACCTCCAGAAGCCATCTGGCCATGGGCCTGGGCACACTGCTGTAGGTACTGCTGCTGGAGCAGGGGTTGGGCCATGTGATCCTGGAGATGCCTTCTCACCTCAGCCATTCTGTGAATAATCAAGTCTTCCTTTTACCTCTGGCTTGCTGGCAAATAATGACTAGCTGCCATGATGCTGTTGTTTTACAGCAGTTAATGCACCCCAGCCTCAGACCAGCATAGAAAATGCTGAGTGGCTATATATTTCTGTATAACACAGTTGACCCTGAACTGTGACAAAGGCTGGAGTTTGTACAGAAAATGGATGCAGCTCTTGAGGATTCCTGGCTCCGAGCCAGAGGCTTCATCCATCTGTCAATTCCTGCTTCCCTCCTGCCAGCAAACAAAAGTCAGTGAACGACAGCCAGTGACTCAGGGCCTCACTACATCCATAACCACCCCTCAGCTACAGTACAGTGCCTTTGCAGAATGCATTTCTTTTTGCGTATTATGTTCGCTGGTAAGTTGATGCAGGTAGAAGAAAAGCCTCCAGAAGAACTGATATACATACTGCCTACAGCATATATCTCAGTGCACGTTCTTAGGGCACTCCTTTTGACAGAATAAGTAAATTTATAAATATAACATATATACTATATATATACACATACATTATTATTATTGCTGTTCTTGATAAAAACTTCTCTAATTCCTGACTTGAAGACTAACAGTGGATTATTATTTTTTTTAATTTTACATCAAGTAAGCACTCTGATATTGGGATACCTAAATCAGATGCCTCAGCTCCATAGTACCTTCTTCAGTGATCCCATATGCTTATCAGTATGGCATCAACATAAACATATATAAGCCATAATGCACCACTGAGTTCTTAAACACTTACACTTCTCAAGGAAAGAAAAGTCATTTGGTAGAACTGACAACAGAATCTGTAATTCCAGAAAATACAAGTAATCAACTACGTAACAAATGCAATTAATTGAACACATTTCAATTCCTCCCAGGCTTTATTCTCACCAGTAGCCGCAAGTTTTTGCTTTAAATTTATTACCTGGGTTGTCTTGACATAGATTGCTATGATGGCAGAAAACTAACATCAAGTAATAAAAACTGAAGGTGTTAAATCAGTGTAGAAATAAAACAGTCATTGTTTAGTCACAATCAAATAAAACATTACACACTTGAAGGATTTCATTTCTATCTCAAGTATTCCAAATGGAAATGTATGAATAGTTCTGTGCCATGCCCATCACCGCACTTGAAGGAAGGGAAAATCTCTGGCATCCTCAATTGCAAACTCACATTTTTTGTTACAAAAATAATGTTGTGTTAAACAAACAAACACAAACCCTACTGGTAATTCTCTGTTCCACCAAATGTTCAAAGAACCTTCACTATCTCCAACTTATCAGCACCACCATTCCTACACATCCAACAAATGTAGTGAAGCTTGCCTTCAAGGAATGCTGGCAAAAAAATACAAATACTAACAGTTTCACATTCTTATTTTCATGACTCATTGAGCAGTTGACTGCTGTCATGTGAACTAAATAGAAAGTTTTGATCATATCCCATTTTAAAAAAGCCTTTTGTTTCACTGCATTGTTCAGGACTGAATCAGTGGCACCACACAGCATTTTCTCCTCTTATACAAAGGAGAGAGCTTGCATTAAATGGTTCAAAGTTATTTCTCAGTAAACCCCGAGGAAGAAAGGTTATGTGCTTTTGTGAGCTTCACGTCTGTGGCATGGGAAGCCATTTCAAATCACAGTGCAACAGCAGCCAGTTCACATGCTTTCCCTTTCATACAATGCAATCAACAGTGCCATCTCTTGCACAGTAAATCTGTAAGCACAGCAGAAGCTTAATTCTCTTACTGTAACTGTTAATTCACTACGATTTTTTAAACATCACAATACTAGAAGTCTGTTACTTGTTTAAACTTCATTTTAGAAGCCTGCTTATCCCAACATCTGCTGCTTGGTTGGAATATCTCTGTGACACAGAATGCTCTGCATGCACCTGACTGCACGGCCCAGGATCTGTGCACAGAGATTTCTGTCAGCACACACTGAAGAGCAGTCATCAGAGCAGTCCAAAGCACATCAATAACCAGAGATGGCAGCCGAATTGTTCTGGGGATGTCACAGCAAGTAACCCTCAACACCGCCGCTCCTTCCATGGCAGGATCAGCTGCAGCTGATCATTAGCAGTAAGCCTATGCTACTGCTAACTATCCTACTACACGTAAGGAAATGAATAGAAATTTAACCTCAGAGAAATGCAAGCTGGCTGTTTCCAAGTGCCCGACAGATTCTTGAAAACACCGACAGAGAAAACAGGACATCTGCCTATTTATATGGCTTCCACAACTGAATGCTATACACGTTCAAATCAAACCACATAATGAATAAAGAACAGTTCTACTTACAAGCTTCCTCTTCGGGGGAGGCTGAGCTCCTTCTGGAAAACAAACAGAATTAAAAAGCAGAGTTAATTTCACTTGTTTCTGTATTCCTCCCTTATTTCTCAGCAGCAGCAGAGCAGCCTCTAAGGGCTGGGGCCGCCAGGTGGCAGCAGCCAGCCGAGCTCTGGGGAGAGCTGCAGCTGCTGGAGCTAACAAGTGAAAGCACAAATACATTTATTATTTTCAAGTATGAATTCTCTAAAGTTTGGAATTTCATTACTGTTTCACAGCACTGAGCAGATTTCATGTACGAATTCTCGCAGACCTGACAGCTCCCAGCATCGAGGAATAAATTCCTGCCATCAGACAAACTTGTCAAGATCTAATCAAAACATTTCAAGTGTAAGATAATAAATCGTAAGCATCTATAACAGGTTGTATGTTTTATATTCTGGAAAGGTATTTCGTCTGCTCTCATTTATTTGCAAGAATTAAAAGCTTCCAACTGTGAAGTCTGCATATCAATGAGTGCTCTTTGCCAATGCAAGTAGGTAAGTAGGTAGGGTGTAATTATCATATACCTCGCACTGTTCCACGTTTGTGTGCAATGTATATGCATATATACACACACACATACACTGGCACAGGCTGCCCAGAGAAGCGGTGGATGCCCCATCCCTGGAGACACCCAGGGTCAAGCTGGACTGGGCTCTGAGCACCTGATAGAGCTGTGGGTGTCCCAGTTCATTGCAGGGGAGTTGGACTGGATGAGACTCAAGGCTCCCTGCCAACCCAAATGATTCTATGATTGTATGTGTAATGCATCTCTTGCACCACGCGAGCCATCTATGTACAACCAATTAACCCACGGTACAGCAGACCCAACAGAACAAAGGTGCCTCCTCCACCTAAATGAATGGTCTACTTCTCCCAAAACAATCCATCCCAGAATTGGCCCACACAGACATATGAAGCACTGACATGTCGTGGCACTGGCTGGAAAAGGAAAGCAGTGGTCCTTAGATCTCTTCATCTATCTTCTCTTTTTTGAGATGTGAGGCTCACACGTTGCTTTGCTCCATGTATGAGGGCTGCAGAAGAGCTCTAACACTTCCTGTCATTGAGATTCTGCCACAAACTACTGCAGGAATCATGATCCAGCAATAGCAGCAGCCAAACCTCTTCCTTTCCTCTGCTGGACACTTGTTTTACTCACATGATGAAAGCCTTAATGCTTCCTACACTATTAGCTATTTCAGGATCAAACACACCCAAGGTTAAAAGAAGGATTTGAGCATTGTTCATGAAATCATCTTTCGAAATCTGTCATCAACTGAGTTTCCAAATAAAGAAGGAAACATACAAGCAGATAACATCTCAATGCAGCTGAACTGTTGCCCTGTCCATGCAGTGATCCTTTGCAGCCCTGACAAGCATCGCGTGGCTGTGGGATCAATAGGCTTCCAGTTAACCCAGCAGTGCTATGGCCACTGGAGATAGCAGCGAGCAGCAGAACCAGGAGCTCTGCCTCTTTGGCATCACCTAAAGAAGTTCCACCTCAGAGAAAAAGGCAACACGCAATGGCTGCGGATGGAAGCAAGGAGGGAGCAGGCAGAACTGATGCCCATCTCAGGACACTCCCATTGAAAGCTGCAGAGCCCCAAGGGGCACGGTGCCAGCAAACACCTGAGTGGGGATGTGATCACAGGGCAGACGCTCAGCTGGAGTTCATGCTGGCTTAGGAGTTGTGTGTGCAGTGGGACCCATTAAGAGCGGGTCCTACAAATGATAGGATAATTTCAAACACACAGCAGCACTACAAAAATGCTGATTAAATGACTGTGAAACATAACTGAGAAGTCCAACAGCATTTCGCAAATACCCTCTGAAAGTGAAAACTGCTCAGAATCAGTTTTATTGTGCAGATTAAATGTTTCAGATACTAAAAGATGAGGGAGGTGTGCTTTGACTGGCGCCCACCCACTCCATAGCTGAGCATGCCATTACACATCCACCCAGCCTTTCAAAATAAATCACATTTAAAGAGCTAACATGACTCCTAGAAGAGTGCTCAGCTGCAACGGCTTGGTCTGAAGCTCTATTTACAGGGTGCAGCTGTAACCCTTCATGCAGAAGTGCTATTTTCACATTGACCACCTTTCCAACGAGGACAAGCTGTGAACGCTCGGGATTTCGGATGGCCTCACCCAAAGGCACACCTGTCATCCCAGCACTTCTGCTGCCCCTACCTGCAGACACCTCCACCATCCTACAGCCATCCTCCCTGCTATCTGCTCTGTAGGGTAACAGCAAACCCCACACAGAGGCTTACGTTTTATATTTGGTTTACACTAAACGTTGCATACTTTAAATGACTGCTGCACATTATTCACCAGGAAATTCTGGAAGTGGAAACAATGAACCTCTTTCACAGATCCTACGTCAGAAAAAAATAAGAAGCAAATTAAACCCTGCACAACCCCACACAAATGGCAGCAACAGACTGCTCTGAAAGTTAATCTTTTGTATCAGATCCATGTTTCAAGGCACAGTTATTAAACATGCAGCCTGTGCTCCACATGACAAAAGCAGCAGCAGGTTTGCAGACAAGAAGCGAAAAATGAATTTTGGGAAAGAAATACAGCACCATAGCACTTATCAAAGCTGGTTCTGAGCCCCTTCTTCAATGCAGTACCTTATATTTGTTTCCCTCTATCTTATCATCTCAAATAACGCAGATATAAAATCATGCTCTAATAACACACTACAGTTCTGATCTCACAACACAACAGCTCCTCACCAGCCCCATCATTATTCATGAAGTCAAAACAGAAAACGTTATATATGGTCATTATAATTTTTGGTTTCTATAGTACGTGGTTTTCTACATACATACTGAAAACGTATTCTATAGTATCTCTCGTACACAAAAATTGCCATAAAACATAATTGTTTCACAGAACAGAAAGAGTGCTATCTTCTGTATGCACATACGCACACTAGATGGAATGGAAATAAAGTCTATTTGTTCACTGACCTACGCGACAACCCACATCCTTTAAACGGATATGTTATGTTCTAAAAGTGTGAAGAGAACAGGAGCCCATCGCTCACAATTGTCACTTGATCTCAATCCCGTAATTTGCCCTTCAATATGGAGCTGCACATATGGCACAGACCCACAGGCGATGTTGGATGCTGGAGCCGCACTGATGGCAGTTTAAATGCAGCCCTTTCAGACTGAAGGGAGAACCACGGCTGCCTTCAGGATGCCTCACACCTTTGCCAGAGCAGCCAGTGTGATTCCTGAGGTTGCCTGCGACCTTGGCTTCCCGCATGGCAGCTCACTATCACACCAGTTGGGACAATGGACAAATATTTTTACAGCTATACCAGTAAATACATTCCAGTTAATAAGTTAATATTTCACAGATGATGAAACTCCACTGGCGCTCATTGACCTAGTACCGTGCACTCGTGTTTTAATTTTTTTCCTTTGCTGACTACGTTTGCCTTAGGGTATCCACCGACCAGCAGGGGATTAATTAAATCTCTTTCTATACATAACCATTTGCATTACAGAAATGATATAACGAGGGTTAGAACCTCCAGTTCTGATGGAAAATACAACCTGGCCAGGCAAGGACAAACTGTAATCCATCCATCAGATTAACAGAAAAGAATTTTTCATGGTGATTAAGAAAAAAAACACCCACACCACACTAAGCTCCTCTTTTTCTATCAGAATCTATCAAGAAAAATAATTTCCTTCTTTTCACCATATCACTGTAAATGGTTATTAAAACAATACTTCTCAATTTCTCTCTCAGGTGATGATTACATCTGAAATTGTTTGCCAAACTCATCAGCAAAGAATTTTAAACAGCAACACAAACCATTTATTAGCTGTACTGAATGCCAGATCAGCCTGTGGAATATACTGCAGATGCTATTTTATATCATATACTGTCTTTTTAGAAATTAAATTCAGAATCATACGGTTACATCATCTGCTTAAATACAGTGATGCTTAAAATTCAGAAAACAAATACCCAAATCTTCCTGCTGTCATTCAAAACACAGGGAGGACACAGAGCTTCACTCCCAGACCTTACTGAGCACCATACCGAATTTATACCTGCAATCAATCGCACGCATCCTGAACTGCCAAACCCAGAGGTACTCCTGTTCCCCAAAGCACCCTCCTCAGAACTCTCACCTTTGTGGCTGCGGGTGTCAGGTCCTTCAGGACCACATGCATGGCACTATGATGGTCTGCAGTACACCTGTTCAGCTGCTGCTATCCTAAATAACCCTACACACCCACAGCAAATAAAAACATTCTTTGGATTAGTTCCCTGCCTCAGCAGAAGTTGTCTGCCTGTAGAAACATCATTTGCAAAGTGTACTAACGCATAAAAGCAACGGTGGGGAAAAAAGAAAAAAAAAGACAGCTGTTGGGCTGACAGATGACCCCATTTCTCTAAATAAACAGTTTATATCAGTCCTGAAACCAGTGGGTCAAGAATCAGCCAATGATGCATTTAATGTTTCTAGCATCCTCTGGCCTTTTTGTACTCTTCTGCAAAAAAAAAAAAAAAAAAAAAAAAAGCCTTGGGTTTATTTCAAATAAATGGCAAAGAAGAAAATAAAGCCAAAAGCCCTTTCAACTTTAAACAAAATTCTCAATCACAGCCAATTATTTCCTTGTCCCCCACGAGCCCTTCTGCCTGAGCAACACAAAGTTCTCCCTTTGTAGCAAAGTGAAGGATCTAGGCCACATCTGCACATTAACCTCTCAACAATATATGGCTCTGCAAGTTGTCCACTAACCTTTTGTACCACTTAACCTCCGGGCCAGTCATAGGACTAAGGCTACTGGTGACTTGACCTAAAGTAATTACAGAATACATCTCAAAACCGATGAGAATTTCCACTTTTCACATAATATTCTGAGTAGGCTCCACTTCCATAAATGTGCATATCATATAGATAGCTAGGCTTTAAAAGTATATATATGTATGTTTCTATGTGTATGTACAGACAGATAAATATT